TTGTATCTTAGTTACTTTCCTTTTATTGCTGAGACAAAATACGTGACACTCAAAGTGAAAGGGGGTTTATTTATTTTACGGTTTGTAGGAGTTTCAGACCACAGTTGGTTAGCTTAAAGCAGGGTGGCAAAACAGAGGGGCAGCTTCATGGCACTGAAATACAACAAAAGTAACAAGAGCAAGAAATGAGAAACGTGCCTCTTTCCATCTCTTTTATTTTATCCAGACTCATGGAATCAGGGAGGTTCCAGTCCAGTCAGTGGACTGATCAGCAATTGCCCATCCTGTTCCCAGCACCTTTAATCTCAGGACTACACTACAAATCAATCACAAAATCTAGATTCAGGCACTAAAACTCTCTGACTACACAAGGCTTAAGGGGGATATCGAGATACAAATTGTAACACTCTGGACATAGCTAAAAAAGTAATTCACTTATACTGGAAATTAAAGCACATCATACCAAATACATACTACTAAGCTGCCTATTGAGATAAAGACAGAAGGGCTGGGGATTTAGCTCAGTGGCTCCAGCACTTGCCTGGTAAGCACAAGGTCATGAGTTTGATCCCCGTACAAAAAAGAAAAAAAAAAAACAAGATAAAGATAGATAGATACATAAATACATATCCAGAGACACAAAAGTAGGTGAGTAGATAGATAGATAGATAGAAATAGATTAAACTCAAGAGATTTTTTTTAACTAAAATAGCATAGTGTCATTTTGGTTTTTCTCACAGGTAGCAATTTTGGAGCTACTCTGAAGACTGACTTGTTTTATACTTTTAAAAAAATGCCAGATTTCAGGTTGCTAACTTTTTTATTAAATAATTTTTTGAAAATTTAAAATGAACTATTTGTCAATAATTAAATTTGTGTGTAACAATTTATAATAGTGATACACTCAATACATTTCTATTCAAGAAATATTAGTAATGAATTTGTAATAGTTACTAGCAAATTACAAAGAGTTGAAATAGGATAGATAAAACTAATAAATTACTTTATCAGTCAGATACTATATTGTTTTAAAATAACTCATTTTCAGTAAAGAATATATCAAATTGTGCATAAGGAGATTACATATATATTTCTATTCATTTTAAGAAATATGCTTTAAATTCTTGTAAAAATTTGTAACCATTGCTGTTTCATGCAACATAGAAAAAGCTTTTTCTTTAAAAACTTAGAATAGTAGATAATTCAAATTTATCAAAATACTTTTTTTTAAACATGACTCATTTATATTTTTTCCTAAATTACAAAAATCTATCTTATAATTTTTCATCACATTTTTCACTATGCTCATGGATTTTTAACTATAAAGCAGATTGATTATGATAATTAACATTTTCAGGTTCTAACTCAACCTTAAGAACGAAGACTGACAATGTACTAGATCAATAGGTGTGATCACAGAGGGAGACTTGGAGGAAATGAAATGAAGTCAGTGTGTTCTAATCAATCAAAATAGTTTGCATTTATTAAACCAAAGAAATTTCTCTATTTTTCATTCTTCATAGAATCTTCTTAGTTCTGTCAGAGATCTCTACACAAATGTCTTTTTCTCTATGTCACTTCTTTAAACCTGTTTCATGAATGCAGACTAGTTCCTTTGTTTAGTTAAAATTTTATGGTCTCATCAGTTAGCTAGCTTCTTGTTGATAACTAATGAAAACAAATATAAATTCGATAAAATAAAAAGAAGATATTCACATCTATGAAAGTATATATATATATATATATATGTGTGTGTGTGTGTGTGTGTGTGTGTGTGTGTGTGTATCCATATCTATAGTATTCATATATATAAAAAGTTCAATGGATTTGCTTCCAGATGAGATTTTTTTAGCTCCCAAATCTGTCAATCACTCAGCTTCCCTCTCTCTCTCCCTCTCCTTCTCTGGCTCCCTTTTCCTCTCCCTCTTCCTTTCCCTCTCCCTCTCCCTCTATCTTTCATTCTGAGTTGGATCCAGCTCTGTTTTCAAGTAGAATATATTCTCATGGTCCCAACATGACTACCCATATGCAGTTACATGCTTCTTTTTTCTAGTGTTAAAATAAGACTCACTGCTTGTCATGGTTTATGTCTGTGGCCCTAAGGCCCCATGAGTTTGCATTGTGCATTTGTGATGGTTCATTGTCTAGTGCTGGGATTGATGGTGTCAGTGTCCACCCCCATAGAGGTGGAGCCAGGATGTGATGTAACGGCAGGAAGAAGGTGTGTCTTGCTCTTTGCTGGTTCCTGCTTGCTATTTGCAGCCGCCATGAACTAGGGCCCAGCCATGCCAGCCTGCCTTGGAGCCAACTAAGTGTGTAATGAAACCTCCAAAAACTGTAAGAAATAAACCTTTCCTTTCCCAATTTGGGCTTCAGGTATTTTGTTTCAGCAATGAGTAATAAGTAACTAAACACTGCTCAAAGTTAAGAAGTGAGAGTGAGTACTGTTTGGCCATATTTTGACTATCCATCAATTGTTATAATAAGGTTAATATGATACACTAATGGGCTTGGACCAATCAGGATCTATTCCTAGAGTTCAGCCAAATCTTCTCATGTTATTTGAAAATGTGGCAAAAATGAGAGCAGGAAATCAGATATTGAGAAATCACATATAGTTGAAAAATTCTACTACATTGTTGTTCTTGATTTTAGAAAATTATGACATTATATAAAAATAGATAAGTGGTAACACAAATAGTTGATTTGTACATGTATTTTTAAAATACTTTCATCCAAACTTGATTAGTAAAGATTTTGCTACCTTAAAATCAAGAATATACCTATAAAATTCAACAATAAGATATAATTATATTTTTAATACTTTTATTTATATAATATTTTGTAATACTTTTAATCCATAAATCCATTGCTCTTATTGCTTGAAAAAAGAACTCCTCATTTAGTAGTATTCTGATTTTTATCATAATATATAATATTATGAATAATGAATGCACTATATAGGTATTTAGCAGAAAACATAAAAGTTAAATATCTTGGATAAATCATGAGCATATGGTCTAAAACACTGGGGTAAAAGGTCATTTTGAACACGCTATTGTGTCTAGGAAATCTCAATGTAATACTGGGTGTTTTAACAAATGAAGATTTCATTAGCCTATGAAATGTCTTTTTAGTGATTTAATATATCCATGTGAATTTCTTTATTTTTCATTCTCTTTTGTTTGTTTGTGTCTTTCTTATTTTTTTTTTCATTTTTATTTTTCCTTTATGAGATGGAGTTTCCCTATGCAGTCCAAGCTGGCCTCAATTTACGTTGTAGTCCAGACTGGCCTCATACTCTCAGTGATTCTCCTGCCTCAGCCTCCAAAGTGTTGGGATTACATATATGTGTCACTATGCCCAGCCTCTGTCTGAATATTTTTTAAAAAATCAGTAGTAACTACTATATCCATGAGGAAAACTTGCAATGGCATAATTCCTTAGAAGGCAGTCTTATCCTATTGTTTCTTTAAAAATGGAGCTGTAAACAGGTTTCAGTATATATTTCAGTTTCCTTTATGTGCTTCATATGTGTTATTTTTTTAGGTTATAGAGCTGTATACTGTCATTCTGGTTTGCTAAGGCATTATTTGCACATTGAGAAAGAAACCACTATGTTTACTTGACATGGAAACGAATTTCTAACTCACTTGACATTTTACAGTGTATGAAAGTATTGGGACATAGACTATACGTCACTTCTCAAAGCAGCTGAGATGATAGAAGTTTAGCTATTCTTTTTTTCAGTGTAAACATAGACAGTAGTGGAAAGGTGATAGATGAGGGTTGTGGTCTTGACATGGGAAATGTCCTGAGGTCAGCATGGTGGCTTGAATGAATTCGGGTTCTACAATGTATTAATTTCACTAATTAAATAGAAACAAAATGACCCTATACAAGTTCAGCACTTTGTTTAGAACTAAAGAATTATCTTGATGTTGCTCATATATTTAGAAAATAGAGCCCATGATTAATTCCTGTGAGTCAAAACAAATGACAGAAAAAAACAAAGCAAAATGAAAAAGTCTTACAAAGGCTACTTCATTTTTGCATGGAGGACATAGGAATATTATCATTTTTATATCATCTGCTTTGCTCAATTTGTAAGGGGTTGAGGAGAGTTTCCTCTGTTGAAAAATAAATTTTTTTTTCAGCCATCCTGAAAATATCCAGACCTTTTGAAAGCTTATTCAAAACATTTTTTTCAATGTTTGTATTGTCAACAGAATAACAAAAGAGATCAAATGCTGCTGCTGGATATCCCAGATCTGGTCACAAAAGACAAAGCCCTTAAGTGGTAGTTCATAGTAACCACAGAAAAATTTAACAATATTTAAGAGGGTCTCTGCTTTAGAACTCTAATGCTGAGGCTCGAGGCAGGAATAAGATGCAGCGGATGGCTTTTATCCCACCACAGGTAGCTTAACTGCTTTCGCTTATCCAGCGTGGTCCAACAAGATCTGACAAACTGCATCGCTGTAGAAAAAGTATCTCCTGGGCTATGATGCGTATAGAGGATTTTTTTCTTTAGTCACTTGCAAGAATCAGGCTTTAATGCATTATACTGAAAGACTTCATACCCCAGATAGCTGCCTGCTGTCCACTGAATCTTGGCAGGCAATAATACTGTTGAAACTGGGAAGCTATGTTAAGCTATCTATCTGAAACTGGGAAGCTATGTTAAGCAGATTTTTGGGTATGTACAAAATGCTTTATTTTTAAAGCTGCTTTTCTTTGTAGCAGTTTAAAATGCTTTCTCTCTCTCTCTCTCTCTCTCTCTCTCTCTCTCTCTCTCTCTCTATTTTAAAACTCTTAGTTTGTTCAACTTTCAGTCTTCACCAAAACTACTTTGCAAAAATGTTCCTATATTTTTCCCCTCACCAAAGGTCAATGCTTCTAGAAAAATAATCTTATTTTTGTCAATTTAAGAGCTTTTCTTTAAATTATCACAGCTCTTACAAAAACTACAGTACACAGAAGAACATTAAACACCTTACCATTGTATGGAAGTTCCAGAGGAGTGCAGATACCATTTTTGGTTCCAGCTATAGGTGAAGAGATAAGTTTTGCAGCAAGAGATGAAGAAATGGGCTGTACTAACAGAGAAGTGAGGTTTGGTCGACTTTGTCTAAAGCTTCCATCTGTATTCAAAAGAGAAAGGAAGAAGATCCTTAGTAACTCTATATTAAAAACAAAGAGAAGTTCAACAAAGAGAAGTTCTTTGTAATAAGTATTTAGATGATGACATAAATTTATACTTATTCATTTATTTATATACTCTTTAGTCATAGTTTGGCTACCTATTAAAATGATTTGAGGTGCTTCCTAAAAATGTTGCCTAAATACAAGTATATGAGCTTGCTTAAAATGTCATTTACTTAGCTGCCCGGTTAATACTATAATGGACCAAAGGAATGAAATATCATAAATCCACAGAGTCCAAGACAATAGACAGTAATATGATTTCAGAACTTGGAAAGTAGACGAATCAGTGTCAGCTAACAAAACAGAAATGAAGTGGCCAAAACCTGACCTGCAGCTAGGAAGCAAAGAAGCAAGATAGTTTATATCACAGAACCAGAAAGGCTTAGAAATTGGCAATGGCAGCTGCTTCTATAGGGCCAGTGGGTAAAGGCAGGGCTGGATACAGGAGGCTGTGATGAACCCTAACTGCAAATCTGGTCAGTGTGAACGTCTTCACACAAGGAAAGAACAGTGTGATGCTGATTAGCAAAACATCAGATACAATCGTATATGTTATGCTTAAAGCAGAATGGTGTTATGATTGCTGAATCTTCAGATATTTTATATGCTTGGCATCCAGTTAATTCTCTTCGGATGAAGCAACTGAAGATTCATTCGTCATTCAAGTCAACAGAAACTATAAAAATACTGAACATCACGAGCTGTTACAATAAAACAATTTACCTAAGTTGACCTATGTTGAAGCTTGCTGTTAAATAAATCTCACCCATATACAACATTTGAAATCTGTTTAATTTTGCCTTATGTCAGCCAATGATTACACCGGTGTCATAGCCCAGTGAGGACAAGAGGAAGAGTCGAGAAACTGAGAGGACAATTACCAGGAGAAAAAAATTAACAGGAATTAACAAGGATGTACGTGTCTGCTAGGATAACAAAAGACTATTAACAATAAAGTCAAGGGAAAGATTTGAAAACTTTATATATATTCACCTGGGAATATAGCTCAGTGGAACAGCGACTGCCTGACAAGCATGAGGTCCCAAATCTGATTCCCAGTACAAATAAAACAAAACAACAACAAACCAATGAAATTTTAGGGGGCCTCAGTTTGTGAAGAAAGAAATGTAATAACCAATGAAAATAATACTTAACTATTCATTATAAGTACTACTTTTTAGTAGTGCTTATATTATTATTTTATTTTAAAATGAAAGAGAAAAAAATATGATACAGAATTTCAAAACAACATAATAGGAGATTAACAATGGATAATATATTGCATATTATTATCTTCAAAGTAGTTATTTATATTTTAAGATATAGACATAAAAATGATCAAGCAATGAAAGCACAAATTGTTCTTTTTGATGAACTAACAGAGATTGGTAGTACAATTATCTGTCATATATACAGTTGATTCTTTTTGGAGAAAAGAGAAATAGGAAAAAGACAAGAGTGATATATGTGGAGATTTGTCAAAGGTAAGTCTATATCCATCAGCGTGGTGAGTCAGTATAATGGATAAAACAGAAAAATAATGAATACATCTAGGCATGTTATTGAGAGAGGATGGGGAGGTTAAGTATAAAACTAAGTGATAAATAAAGATGTTAAAAAAAAGCAAGCAAATATTTGCTTTAGGGAGATAATGAAAGGGAAGAGGAAGGATGAAAAAGTAGGTACTGACACTCCTATAAATTAAGCTTCATAGAAATGTTAACCAAAAATCTATGTTATTCTATATCTTTGAAAAAATAAACACTACACAAAAATAATCAGAGGAAGCAATTACAATACTATAGCAAGACTCAGGGTAAAGAGGATGGAGAAAATACACTGAATTGTCTTAAAAAACAATGAAGAAATATTTAGCTGAATTATTTTTATTGATTTTGAAAAAGAAGTACGCAATGAATGTCTATCATGCAGCCATTAATGCTTCAATCACAGTGTTACATTTTTCAGAACTTTTATTAGGGAAAATAATTGCTAAAGATTTTCTCAGAATAGGGGCTGGGGATTTAGCTCAGCGGCATAAGCACCTGCCTTACAAGCAGGCAGTTGTGAGTTCGATCCCCAGTACAGATAAAAAGGAAAAAGACAAAAAAAAAAGAAAAAGACAAGATTTTCTCAGAATTGAATATGATAGAACTGCAAGGGGTGCAGAGTCCAATGATACTGGTAGCCAGGCTCCAGGAGGCACAGTATAAATGAAAAAAAAAAAAAAAAAAAGTTTCAACAGGGTTTCCTTAATTTATTATCTAGAAAACCACAAGGCTAAAATGATATTTAGCCTAGGCCTGTGACAGCTGTGGAAATCATGGTTTTGAGGAAAACAATAACAAAGATTTAAGCTTAGCGTCAGTTCTTTTACGCGAGCACAGTGCTGGTCTCATAATTTAGTAACCCCTCCTATGGATCCAAGACACTGTGTTTTGACCACAGTGTAGTTCGCCGCTCCCCAACCATTTTCATGTCACCCTACTATGACTGGCTGTATAATTTTCAGGGCCTGCAGCAAAATGACCGCATGAGATTGCTTGTTCAAAAAGTATGAAGAATTTCAATACGGCAATAGCAGAGCGTTAAATCAAATGTGGGGCCTCTGAGAGAAGGAGCTTTGCAAGAATCCACAGGTCACTTGTTCATGAGCCAGGCTCCACATAATCCACATAAAAGAGGCTCATAGTCATATAGCCTGCTGTGACAAACGGAGAGGGTTTTGCAGACCTCACGGAAGCTATTCTCAGTCCCAAGTGACATCCCTGGATCACCTGCTCCAGGCCATGCCTGGGGCCAATGTGACTCATCACATCGGCCAATGACCAACGTGTCTAAGAAAGACAACGCACAGCATAGTAACCATCTCTCTCTGGTCCTCCGTGACGGGTATCGCCTTGGCACGTGTACTGCGCATGGGCCAACTAAACAGTATTTCCAAGCCGTCTGTTGCTTTTTAAGGATGTGAAGTACACACATACATTTTCAATACAAAGCAAAACATCTTGAGAAGTGTTCATGCATGTGGCTACTGACATATTTCTAATACCAAGTGAAATGGCTTAAGGTACTGCATGATTTCATTGCTCCCCAATTCAAACTTTACATTCCAAATAAAATTTACTGTCATTCACACATTCAGGCTAAAACTTAGTAGGTCCCTCCGTGCTCTGTAGTTTACATCTCCCCTCTTTTTACTTAAGTCCTTCATGCCACTTGTAATTCTCACTCATCACATGCATTTTACGTGTCTAAATTATACACCTTCTTCAAAGCCAAAGTCTAAAGCCACCTTCTACATGAAGCTCTCTGAGATTCCCACAGGACTGCGTGATGCTTCTGCACCTTTCTGGCACTCTTTGCCATTTCCAAGTAGCACGATCACTGTGTGAAAGCACTTGGTTTCCTTACATCTCTCTTCCTCTGGCAAAACACTCTAATTTTGAGAAGAACAGGATCATGTTATCCATATTATATGACAAAGGTGCCTAAAACATTCTCAGGAACAAAGCAGGAGATGAGTAATTGGTAAAAAGAAAGGAATCCACAGTTGTTTGAAAAGTACTTCAAATGCTTCCATCTTACTAATCTTCTGAATGCCTCTAAAATGGATCGGGGAAACACTGAAGAAGACTTTAAGATTCTCTGCATAACATACAGCCTGGTGACTCCTTCTCAGCTTACTGCTACCCACCCTCAACTGATTGTCAAATGACTTCCACAGCTAATTTATTCCCATTACCTCACTGGGTAACCTTGTTCTACAATCACCTTTTGTAAACATGTTTATGTAAACCAGATTATCTTCAAGATATATTTATCAATCAATAAAAAATCAATAATTGCATTGAATTTTTCTTCAGAAAACCTTGGTTAGCATATAAAACAATGTATTTAAAAGTTAAATATGAGTAAATCCTAAACCATAATTGATCATATCGTTGACTGTTTGGTTCAGCAGACTAATAGACTTGCATTAGTTTTGAAATATCTGAAGTAAGTGGTTCATTAATTTTACACATTTACCTTAATGGAGATTTGATAAACAGTTCTGACCTGATACAGATACTAAAAGTAGGATCTTAAAGGACACTAAGATTGAATGATAGAGAGTACAGTTAAAACCATCTGTTGAAAAAGAGCTGAGGGAAGAATTTAATTTTCTTATATTACTAACAGACACCAAATATAACTAATATGTATACCATTTTTATTCAGTTTTATTTTAAAGCATATGGAAGAATTATAAAAGATTATTAGAGCATGTAATATATACTATTTTGTCAATAATGATTGATGTCAACTTTTATTTTAGTAGATAGCCTAGATCTTCATTCTCTGCAGTTGTTATAATCTAATGATTAAAACAGACCCATCCAACCAATAATTCAATCCCTGTTACAACGCCATACATGTAGTATAATGAGGAATTTGAACATAGAGACTCCTAAGTCTGATTTTTCCATTAACATACTGTTTGAAATGTAACAAATAATTTCACTATAAAAATATCATCATTCCACTACTACTATTCCTGAACTACCAGGTGGACCAGGGAGGGCCTTAAGTACACTGATTTGTTGAGAATAGATATACTATATCAGCTCAGAAATAGACAATCTATCACTGTGGGAAACATTTAGAAGAAACTAAGTAAAAAGAGTAAAATGCTTTCTAACTGTAGATATTTAATAATTTTTGCTTTACATTTTTCAAACTTCTGATGCCTACTTCAACCATATCTGCTTATGGTTGTGAAGAACAAAATGAGTGCTAGTACTTGTGTTTGTGTGTACGTGTGTGTGTGTTTGTGTATGTGTATATAACCCTGACATCCCTACAACTCAAGTAGAGTGAGTAGAGGGGTACATTCAGTGTGCAGCCCCTGGTTAAGCAACAGTCACATGACAGGTCACTCATCAGAGAGGCAGAA